TTTGCAGAAATCCATTCCATATAGATTCGAAGGAGCGCTCTTAATGCCGAGTGCCATCAGCCAGAGGAATACCTCCTGTTCTGGACCGCTGGGGCACAGTACAGTTCAGGTTATTTTTCTGATGATCGGATGGAGATTGAGAACCAGCCAAACCCTGCTCCATGCCTAAGCGGGACCTTTTTTGGTCCTGTGGCTGGGCTGTTCTCTTTTTTTTCCCCCGAGCCTGGCTTCAGTGATTCCAAAATGGACGGAAGGATCCCTTTTAAGGGAGGTCTTCTCCAGCAGGATATGCCGTGATTCCTCTCTGGCGATCGAATGGCACCCTTCATTTCGAAAAGCCCCTACAGCCATCTCCTCTGGGTGTGGGGGTAGTTGCAGTTCTTACGGAGGATTCATGTGGCTGCGAATTCCGAGGACAAAGACAAAAGCATCTATTTCTTGGAGAAGAAGCGGGAAGGAAGCAGAGCCTTAAAACCAGTCTAATCTGGACAGGTACTTAATAAGAAAGGCAAGAAGGAAAGAATACCTGAGTCTAGAAGACTACAGTTCTGTCCTTCACTCTCTCTACTGGTTTATGTTACTTGCCACGAGGACTGATATTCAAACGTGGTAGTTATTTGATTCCTCTCTGGCGATCGAATGGCACCCTTCATTTCGAAAAGCCCCTACAGCCATCTCCTCTGGGTGTGGGGGTAGTTGCAGTTCTTACGGAGGATTCATGTGGCTGCGAATTCCGAGGACAAAGACAAAAGCATCTATTTCTTGGAGAAGAAGCGGGAAGGAAGCAGAGCATTAAAACTTCAGTCTAATCTCGACAGGTACTTAATTAGAAAGGCAAGAAGGAAAAAACACCTGAGTCTAGAAGACTACAGTTCTGTCCGTCACTCTCTCTACTGGTTTAGGTTACTTGCCAAGAGGACTGATATTCAAACGTGGTAGATATCTCATCTATTAGGATTGATTTTCACTGGCAGGACAGGGGAGAGGCACTATTCTCTCACTCAAGCGGATGCACGCTGTGATGTAGTGGACAGAGCGATGAACCAGGACTCAGGAGGCCTGGGTTCGAATCCCTGCTGAGTTGTGGAAACTCACTGGAACCGGTAAAACCACTGCTTAAATATCTTTCTTACCCTGAAAGCCCTGTTAGGGTCCTGAAAAAGCGTCACCGTAGAGCGAATTCATCGCTCTACGGTGTGCTCGTTCTGCGAGGCACCACTGTATTAGGATTGCATTTTTACTGGCAGGACAGGGGAGAGGAACTATTCTCTCACTCAAGTGGACGCACACTGTGCCGTAGTGGATAGAACGACATCTTTCTTAACCTGAAAGCCCTGTTAGGGTCACCAAAGCAGAGACCTCACCTTGCCAACAAAGGTCCACATAGTCAAACCTATGGTTTTTCCATTAGCGATGTACAGAAGTGAGAGCTGGACCATAAAGAAGGCAGACCGCAGAAGAATGGATGCCTTTGAATTGTGGTGCTGGAGGAGACTTTTTAGAGTCCCCTAGACTACAATGAGAACAAACCTATCCATTCTGAAGTAAATCAAGCCTGAGTGCTCCCTGGAAGGACAGATCCTGAAGCTGAGGCTCTAATCCTTTGGCCATCTCATGGGAAGAGAAGACTCCCTGGAAAAGACCCTGATGTTGGGAAAGTGTGGAGGCAGGAGGAGAAAGGGATGAGGTGGCTGGACAGGGTCGTCGAAGTGACCAACATGAATGTGACCCAACTCCGGGAGGCAGTGGAAGACAGGAGGGCCTGGCGCGCTCTGGTCCATGGGGTCACGAAGAGTCGGACAACAACAACAAAAATTTGGTTCTGACTTGAAGGCACAGAACAGCAACTTACTCAAGTGCCCAGTTAAGGCAATTGGCCTAGAGGACTGTACACTGTGACTTTGGGAATGTGTTGTGGTGAATGACAGGTGCTGTTTGCCTTAGACAGCAAAATAGCTTAAGTCAGCTCTGGAAGTCATCTATGAATTTCTGAAATCTTTTTCCTTTAAAGGCTTCTAAGAACAGGGCTACATGTTCAAAAGAATATGGCCGACTACATAAGGTGGGTGACATGGATTGACACAATAAAGGAAGGCATAACCTGGAGTTTGCAAGACCTGAATGGGATTTGGAGAAGATTAATCTACAAACCCCACGAAGTACGAGTTCCTCTCTATTCAGCACTGCTTAGGCCCCGTTTCGAGTCCAGTTCTGGACACTGCACTTCAAGAATTATGCTGACAAAACTGGAGCATATAGAGGAGGAGCAGGATCCGTTCTTAATCATCCCAGAGTGCAGGATGTGTAATAATGGGCTCAAGGTACAGGAAGCCGGATTCAGGCTGAACATCAAGAAAAACGTCCTAACTGTTAGAGGAGTATGACAAATGGAAACCATGACCTCAGAAGAGCAGTACGACAATGGAAACCATGACCTCAGAAAGTGGTGAGAGAGAGAATTCAAGAGAAAATTGAATAACCATCCATCAGATCTGCTTTGATGTGGATTCCTGCCTTGAGCAGGGGGTTGGACTGGATGGCCTTAGGTACCCCCTCCAGCTCAATTATTCTAGGATTCTAGGATTCCATGGCTATAAATGATAGGACCTTGAGGAGGCCACTGATTCATAGGGTCACCATAAGTCAGAATCAGCTAGACAGCATCTAGCATGTGAGGCTGTGGTGCCATATGGAGTAGCAAGCTGGAGAAACATTGAGAACATCGGCCCGATAAAGAAAAGCAAGCGTTTCTAGCAAAGGAGGTCCTGAATCACATGTTGCTAAATGTGTTCCCATAGGAAATCCACTGGCTTAAAAGTGGAGGGGTTGAAGTCTTTTGGGGTGGAGGACCACCACTTCCACGTTTCTAGTCAAAGCAGCGAGAGAGAGAGAAGCTGGAAGAGAAACAAAATTTAAAGAACTGCTGGTGGTCACTCTGCTTGCAAATTTGTGTTCCTCATCTCTCCCTTTGTCCCCTCCCAGAAGGACAATAAGCACGGGGGGGGGGAGAGTAGGCTAGCTTTTGTTGGCAGAGACTTCCATAGACTGGGAGTGTCCAAAGCCCGCCCTGACATCTCTGCCAGATAAGGCTTCAGGGGTGGATCCTTAGTTCCTGGACCCCTCAAAGTTCTCCGCCCTCTGTACGGTACCAAATGAAGAGAGAGTTCTTCAGCAACACCTCCTTCGTGCATTACCCTCATCTACCAAAAGTTATGAAGAAGACACTGGAAAAAATCTTCCTGACTGTTAGAGCAGTATGACAATGGAATCAATGACCTCAAGAGTGCTCCAACGCTGGAGGCATGCAAGAGAAATTTAGACCACCCCCTGGCAGATCTGCTTTGACTTGGATTCCTGCATTAATCAGGGGGTTGGACTTGATGATCTTGTAGGCCCCTTCCAACTTCATTATTCTATGATAGCTGAGTGGTTTAGGTCTCTGGCTGCAGAGCCAAAGGCTGGGGATTCAATTCCCCGCTGTGTTTCCTTGACGGGCTGGACTTGATAATCCATAGAGTCCCTTCCAGATCTGCCGTTTTAAGATGATTATCCACATTTCTCCTAGAGCGCCAAGCCCTGATCAGCAAAGTTATTGAGCTCCACTACATCACCATGCATGTGTTTCTTGCACTCCTTCTTAGCAGACGCACGTGGGAAAACCGATCTCATCCGTGACATTCATTTAGGCCTTCCGTTGCTCCATTTCCCCAGAATCCTCCTGGGCAGGGTTATAAAACAGATGTGTTCATGGAAGGAGAACAGGGGACGGCTGCCTCGAAGGTGTTGAAGGGGAAACCGTAGACGTTTTGTTTCAAATCAGGCCAGACACCCACGTGGGCGACCGTTGGAAGGAGGTTGGGATTCTTTTCGGCCGGTGTCCCCACTCCACTTTAGGCGGCGGCGAGCGCAACGGGGCCACGCTGGAGACGAAACTGGACGCCCCACGGCCGCCTCTCCCCAAAAAACGAGGCCCCTTTCTGAAAGTCACAGACCGGAGGGGCCAAGATGCACAAACCACAGTTTGGCCCAGTCCTGTTCACACAAATGCACTCCATCCCCAGTCACATCATGGCGGCCAGTGGGGCTTGCGTAATGGTTCATTATATGGCTCAGCCAGGAGGAGGCGAAGCTTCGTTGGGAAAACAATGGTCTGGGAGCATCTCTTGCAGAAGCCAGGCTGGGAAAAGAAGCTTCAGGATGATGTGGTGGCAGGACCATGTCATCTCCCCATAGTCTTCTACCTCCTTCCCAGCGCAGGGCCACTTCCTTCCCCACCCCATGCCTCTGGTGAGAGAGTGGGGGGGGGGGGAGGAGAAAGAGAGAGAGAGAGAGAGAAAAGCAAGAGAGAGGGAGTCCAGGTTTTCCGCTCTGCCTCCCCGGCCACCGCCGCCCCTTCTGTCCGGCCTCTCGCCCCGCTTTGAGGCCAAAGTGATCTGGGCTGACAATATTCCATTGGCGCAGATGAAAAGCATTGAAAATGATCAAGCGAGGCGGGTCGTTTGATGGTGCCGTGTTCTGGGGCTCCCACGAACAATGGGCCCATTCAGCGGAGGGGAAGCGAGCCGACTTCCCCTCGGGCCCGGCGCAGCAGGCCAAACGAGGGGCTGGCGCGATTCAATAACCCTAATGAAGCCAAACTGGGATCTCCCCAGGGGGAAGACCACCACGGCCACCCCTTGCCGCCACCGGCAGGACCACCACCTCCAAACCTCCTTTCCCATCTCCGTCACAAGACCCTGCCTGGCATCGCCGCTTTCCTTAATGAATCCGGCTGTTTGTGCCCAACCCCAAAAGCATGGGAAATGTGGATCTCCCCCCCCCCGCACTGTATATATAGACAAAGGCAGTCGGGGGGTATTGTCCCTACTTGTCACTGGCCAGTGGGAAGGAGAGAGAAAGGAGGAAAGCCAAGCCACACTCCACTCTGGACCGCCAGCCAGGGAGGCTTCGGTCTCGGCTCGCCCTTTCTGATCCCACCGGTCTCTGCTCCCTCCTGGGACATGAATCCTGGCCTCTTCCTCCTGGTCTGCCTGACAGAGGCCGCCTTGGCTGCTCCCTTAGCCAAGGAGCTGTACCCGATGCCACCCAGCGTCTTGCGAGGTAAGAGCAGCCCGGTTGCTGGCCGGCCAGCAGCTTTCTAATCCTGGCTAGATGTCCACCTGGCAGCCTTGCTTCCCCGGTGTGGGATGGGGGAGAGAGACGGCCAAAGCAGCAGAGTGACCTAGATTTTTAGATCAGGAGGACCATTGCCTTCTTTTTACCTCCAATCTACCGATTGTCTGCTTGCGTGTGCGCAATGTTGGTGTGTTTGAAACGGACAAAGATCGGAGTGGACTGGAGTTTTCTTATAAAGACCGACACAGCGGGCAAGGTTTTGAGTTCTCCGGAGGTCTTCTGCATCAAGCTGGCGTGGACCAAAAACAGGAGACAGGAGAATAAACAAAAGTGCTTGGAAAGCCAGCCTTTGTCATCGCTGTTGGACACTTAATTTACGGTGTTCAGCAAGCGCTGTGTTTCAGGAGGCAGTGTGGAGCAGTGGTTAAAGCAGACTAACTTTCCCTCTAGTTTGCCAGAAAGAGTGACTTCTCATGGGATCTCACTGGCTTCAGTTTTTCCATGACGCAGGCGGATTGTGCTCCCCGATGTCTTTCGAAGGGTTCAGAACTGTGATTTTGATATGCCAAGTCTGTATCTCGCCAGGCCATCAAGGCGGTTCTGACTTGCAGTGACCCCTTGAAGGGTTTCTTAATTAGAGAACAGATAGAAGTGGATTCCCATTTCCTTTCTTCTGATGGCACTGTGCAGCTTGCCCAAGGCCACCCAGGCTGATTTTACTCACAGGAGGCCCAGTGGGGAATCGAACCCCCAACTTCTGGCTCCACAGACATATCCCCTAAACCACTAAACTGTCTTTGTAGAACTGTCAATAATCACCTTCTTAGAAATGCATATCTGGAAAGGACCCTATGGATCATCACGTCTGGCTCCCGTCAAGGAGGCCCAGTAGGGGAATTGAACTCACAACCTCTTTCTCCGCAGCCGCCCAGTAGGGGAATTGAACTCCCAACCTCTTTCTCCACAGCTGGAGACCTAAACCACTAAGCTATCCAGCCAGCAAAAGTCTGTATAGAGCTTGGGAAATTTCTGGACAACAGTTTCCAACTTCCCCAAGTCAGCATGGCCGTGTCAGCTACTGGATTTGCTGAGTTTTCCAAGTATTAGCAAAGAACTCCCTCCCACACTAATATTCCGAGGAAACACTCTGGAATAAGCACAGTATGTCCCTTTGGAACTATTTAACCCATACAGTTTGTTGCGTTCAGATGTAGCTCTCCAGAACGTCAACCATTCCTAAGACCGCAGTGTTTGTTCCGTGCCTTCAAGACAGAAATGGCTTATAGAATCCTAGGTTAATGGAGTTGGAAGGGCCCTCTAAGGCCATCCGGTCCAACCTCCTGCTCCGTGCAGGAATCCAAATCAAAGCAGGTCTGACAGATGGTTGTTAATTTCCTCTTGAATGCCTCCAGTGCTGGAGCACCCACCGCCTCTCAAGACAACGGGTTCCATTGTCATACTGCTCTAACAGTTAATAAGTTTTTCCTGCTATTCAATCAAAATCTGGTTTCCTGTCGTTTGAGCCCATTATCATGTGTCCTGAACTCCGGGATGATTGAGCACAGATCCTGACCCGCCTCTGTACGACAGCCTTTCAAACATTCGAAAAGTGCTATCGTATCATTCCTCAGTCTATAGTGACCCTAATAGTGCTTTCAAGTGAGATATGTGTGGTGTAGTTTTTCCAGTTCCACTCACCCAGGGAGTTTCAGTGGCCAAGTGGGGATTTTTAGAGTCCTAATCCATCACTATATCCACTCCGCCACACTGTGACTGCTAGATGTTGATAATTTAACTGGAACGGCTTGTGACCGCATCCAGAGTTTTGAATAACCACAACTCGCCCCTTGTCTCTTAATGGTGACCAACTTCACACGTAGTGTGTAAGACAGAACAGGAGGGTGTTCAAAGCCGGTGATTTCCTACGGGTGTGTGGGCTGTTGGAAACAAACAAACAAACAAAACTTGGATTAGACAGCCCTTGATTGCGATGCGGAAAAGCAGTTCTTACGTCATATTGTTCAAATTATCGATCAACTTCAGCACAAACTGATCGAAATGCCACGTTGGAAAAAAATACTTTGTGCTTGGAAACCTATGGGACTGTATTCCATCTGTCTAAAGGAATTAATGACAGCAACATGTCATTCCTATCCCTGGAGAGAATTCAACCATATCTATTTTATTATTTATTATTTACATCTACATTGTGGCATTCCTCCTCCACATTATTTAGCTGCACAAGAACCCTACGAGGTAGGCCAGCCTTATTAGTGCACATCACTACAACTCCAACCATGGATTTTATGGAGGATCCAGGTGCCTATGTTTCGATCGGCCTCTCCTTTTTTAAAAAACCAGAGAAGATCTGCTAAACTGAAATGAGAGGAGAGCTGTGGAGTAACGTTTCACTGAGAGGAGGGAGCCATTCTGGTGAAAAAAAAAACAACAAAAAAACCAGAGAAGATCTGCTAAACTGAAATGAGAGGAGAGCTGTGGAGTAACTTTTCACTGAGAGGAGGGAGCCATTCTGGTGAGGAAAAAAAAAACGGGGGAAAAGCACACATTTGGAAGAAATGTCCAAGCAAGCAACAGCGATCTCAGCCGGTTGCAGCGAAAAACACAGCAGTACCTTTAAGACTATGCAAGTCTAGAAGTCCAAAACAAATTCCTTTCCCCACTTTCAGAAACCCTGCAAAGGAAATAATTCCACTCTGTCCCTCAAGAGTGTCCCAAGAATTAATCTCACCTTCACCGGATGTTTACGTAAAAGATCTTGAAAATTCCTGCAAAAAATCCTACAGGTGCTGGAAGAACTGCTACGGCTACTACCTGAGAGTAGGATATAAACTACATTCTGCATCTTTCAGACATCCTCAGATAGCAGATGTCTGGAAATCTTGAGACACCAGTATAAGGGGTAGAGTGCCCCTTTTGTTGTCGTTGTTTAGTCGTATCCGACTCTTCGTGACCCCATGGACCAGAACACGCCAGGCCCTCCTATCTTCCACTGCCTCCCGGAGTTGGGTCCAATTCATGTTGGTTGCTTCGATGACACTGCCCAACCATCTCATCCTCTGTCGTCCCCTTCTTCTCTTGCCTTGACACTTTCCCAACATCAGGGTCTTTTCCGGGGAGTCTTTTCTTCTCATGAGATGGCCAAAGGATTGGAGACGCAGCTTCAGGATCTGTCCTTCCAGTCAGCACTCGGGGTTGATTTCCTTCAGAACGGATAGGTTTGTTCTCCTTGCAGTCCAGGGGACTCTCAAGAGTCTCCTCCAGCCCCACAATTCAAAAGCATCAATTCTTCGGCGGTCAGCTTCTTGGTTATGGCTTTTGCTCTTACTGGTGGTGTGATCGGATGGCGTTATAGGATCGTGTTGGATCACACCGGAAAGGTTAACTTCCCTAGATGCAATCTCCTCTAAAGTGACTCTTCGTCCGATCCTGATTGCTCCACCCCAGGTCTAAAAAAAGAGTAGGTTTGCCACGGGGCAAAAAAAAAAAATCCAGACTGAGAAGAAAGCAGCATGGGGCTGGTCCGTGTGGGGTTGGTCCGTGATTTTCTGTGCGTCGTTGGGTTACTGGAAGACAGACTGAGTCAGACCAAAAGGTCTGTCTGTATCCTAAGCCATGGAACGTACTGGGTAACACTTTCTCAGACTCACCTACCTCATAGGATCTATGTGTACCTAAAAATGTGGAGGAGGAAAGCCATCTTAGGTGGAATACAGATGTAAATAATAAATAATAAAAATAGATATAGTTGAATTCTCTCCAGGAACAACCTGTTGCTATCATTAATTCCTTTAGACAGGATGGAAACCATAGGTTTCAAAAGCATAGAACAGGTGTTCATTTTTCCCCCCATGTGGCATTTAAATAAATTTGTGCTGAGGTTGACAGATAATTTGAGCAATAAGGAAGAACCACTCGGCTGCCCGATAACCAAGGTCTGTCTAGTCAAGGTTTCGTTTGTTTCTGACATCCCGGGGGGAGCCACAGGCAAGCAGAGGCTCAAAACATTTTAGTACTACAAATCCCAGGATCCCCAGTGAACATGGGCGTTGTAGTCCGGAACAGTAAATTGACCCACAGTCTGTCAGAAACAGGCTTTTTCAAGCGCCATGGGAATCCCGCCTGCTGTTCTGCATGCGTATCTCATGTCTGAGCAGTAAGAAGAAGGGACGGACATAGGGCCTTAACCACACAGAGACATTTGAACTGCTTCTTTTTCCTCCTTTTTATATATATATCGATATATTTGTATGTACAGTCATGTGGTAGATATATCGCGGAGTCCATTCACATGGCTATCTGTTCAATGGATAAATTTCTTGCTGTTTGTACCAGTTTTGTAAGATACATGTGTTGTCTCATATACATCAATTTATTTTCCGTCTTGTTTCTGGGTTCCTGATGCCCTAAATATTTATTCTTTTTTTAAAATCATATGCAATCTGTCACTCTTTTCCTGTCACTTCCAACTATTAATCGATGTACCACCTGGTGATATATGTTACAGTACTTGTAGCCCTTCCTTCCTTCCTTCCTTCCTTCCTTCCTTCCTTCCTTCCTTCCTTCCT